CGTTTTCTGTCAATTGGCGCCGTCAAGTCCGTCCTAAAGAGCAGCCTTTGAGTGTCTAGGCAGTTGCTAATATCTACAGATCACGACTGAGTAATACCCCTAGAAATGATATCATGCTTAGATTTAGTTTGTAATCTGAGAAGTTAATAGATTTATTAAATATACATAAATATAGTAAAAGAGAAGACATAGTTTAGCCATATTTCTGGTATTAACTGAATTTAATAATAACGATAATTATTGCTTACGATATTTAATAGAAGTTTTCCATGCTCTAAACTGGTTTGTATTTTTCGATAAATATATCGATAGAAATCGATAACGAAACTTGCGATCTGGCGTAAAAGTGTGTTCATTGAGCTTCGACTTTCGTTTTCTCCAGATATAAAGCACATATATATGTATCATACCCTTTTGTTGTCGCACCCATTTACAGGGCATCACAATCAAATTATATTTGGGCGCCAGAGCCGAAGAGCCGCCAACTAACCGCACCGTTTGGTCGACCGGCCCAACCAGACAGTCAGCCAGCCCAATCGACAGGCCTGCCGGCTATGCGCAGCCTTGTCGCTTCTTTCAAGATATAAATAACACAGCCCCACCCACAAGAAATTATCCTCTCTGGCCAGCCTTTTGTGTCGCCACACGACAAGCGTCTCTGCACCTGCGTCGACCCCCAAGGGCGTTGCGAGGGGGGGGCCTCTTCACATGTCAGTTTTAAATTTAAAGTTGTTGCGTGCATCAAAATTGTTGTTGTGGTGTTGTTTATATATATATATGCTTTTAGAGGGTATTAAAGTTCTGCCATGAATTGAAGAATGAAGAAACCATCTCCGACTCCCATAAAATATATATATTCTTGAGCAGTATCAACAGACGAGCTAGATCCGTCTCTCTAATTCTATCCCATCTTGTTATTGCAGGCAATATGTCGCATCGAGCCGGATCGAAGCACTATATCATATAGATACCCTACCCTTTGCTGTTTATCAATATATTGTTAATCAAACTTGCATTTCGAGGTTTCACTATTCTGCCAATATCGAACTACTATATCATATAGCTGCCATAGGAACAATCGGTCGCAAAGTGGGATATTGGATGTATAACTTTTTAGTGCGTTAAGATATCTGGACTAAACTCGACATTTACTAGTTAAAACTGTGCTGCTTTAATAACAACAAATCGCACCACTATATAATATAGGTCTATAGGAAGAATCGGTCAAAGACTGACTTTTGTATGAAAAAATAATCCATTATCCAAGATATTTTCAACAAAATCAGCATTCATGAGCTTCAATACTATCACATAGCTAGAAAACCATAAGACAAATGTCCAAAAGGGTATTAATTAAACTTCGGCGTAAACCACACGTTCTTGTTATTATTATTCTCCTCGTCGTCGTTGTTGTTGTTGTTGTTGTTGTTGTTGTTGTTTTCGCATTCCATATTTGTAGCCTGTTTTGTTTTCAAACCGAGCTACTGTGCAAAGCTCTCGTGAATGTTTCTGAGTATCTATCTGGCTTTATGAATACTGCAGCCGGCCATTTACTGCCTCTGCGACTGCCTCGCACTTCTCCTCGCCTAGCTCTTTCAACTCTGTTGATTGGATAGCTACCGTATTTTTACAGCTCTAATCGAAGCTGAAGCAGCAGAAGAACTGACAGAATGGCCGACAGGCGAAATTGGCGTGCAAATTGAAAGAGGCCGAAGGAAAAATTCTCAATGCTGCCATCAAATGAAATTTAACTGAACGTCAAATGGGCGGCGCTGACATTGAAGCACGGGGGTAGGCGGGGCTGGCGCAATTTATCGATAGGCTAAATAAAATTATCGATTTTCGCAGTGCGCAAAATAAAAAAAAAAAAAAGAAAGAAAAAGTCCGTTTGAAGTTGAGTACAGCATCGGGAATTGACGGCAATTCCAGAGGGGAAATGAAAGGGAAGAAGAAAAACCGTTTGATGCTCGCAATTTAAACGAAATTCAAAAACGTTGGCGGATTGAAGCTAAAGAGCGACAAATAGAAACAACGACAGAGAGAGGGCGAGTGAGAGTAAGTGCGAGCGAGAGAGAGAGAGAGAGAGAGGGCGCATTCGTTTCGATTTATGTTTTATTGAAGGCAATTTTTTCGTTGCAAAATAATTGCCAGATGTGAATTGTTTTCTATTGATACAAATTATATAAATGTACTCATATATATAAATAAACTTCCCAGCAAAGTCATGGCTGTATACTCCACCCCCCTCGCGTCCGCCTTCCCCGCCCCCACACTGGACAACACATTCTATTTTATTTATAAGCGGAAATTAGAACAATTGATTTTGGTTTGAGAAGCGAAATGGGAAATTTTCCCAAAGCAATAAATGGTTGATTGAAACGGAAGCGATAAATGGAGAATTATGGGCTGCAATAGCAAAGCTAGAAAATGATTTAAAGCGAGAAAGTAAGGATATATTCGGCATGCCGAAAACTTAATACACTTTCTAGACATAGGCATTACGGATGTGAAAACTAAGACTGAGACTTAAAAAGAATGAAAAATGAGCATTGAAAAAGATAGACGGACAGTCGGACTTGGCTTAACTCAGTTCTTGATGCAGATCTAGAATATATAGACCTTATGGGAGGTGTCTTCTTCTATGCGTTACACAATTCCTGATGAAATAATAAGACCATCTATAAAAAGTATTCAGACTTCGGCAAACAAACACAAGTATCCGTTTTAGAGATTTGCTTTTGCAATTGATTATTCGCTTTTGCTTTGCCCTCACATCCGTAAACGTTTGTCTATAAATTTGGCAAAGCATTGAACTCTGCTTGATTTTCGTCTTTTAAAATAGAGTGGGAAGCGCCCAGACCATTTATGGAATTTCCGCTGAGCTGAGTGGAAACACACCTAATTTAACTCAGGTGCCTCATCTACAGTTACGATGCGGCTTGCGGCTAAATAACAAATTCTACAGGTTGTTGCTTTCGATATTGCGCGCCTTTTTCGCAGATACTTAACACTGATTAAATACAAAAAACACTTCACATGAGCTTTGGCGCAAATCTTGTTTTAGCTACAAATGCGCTGTAATTTCGTAAATTATTGCAAAAAATGCGCGGAATGCGGTTAACAAAGGCAAAGCCAAGCAAACAACAGCAACAACAACAATCTATTGACTGAGACGTTGACGTTGACGGCGACAGCGGCAACAAATGAAATGATTCATCGACTCACTTTGACACACTGAATTAATTAACCATGCCAACGATTTCGTATCGCACGCTCTATCCCTCTCTCGCACTCTCTCTCTCCCTCTCTTTCGGTCAATCTGTACGCTCTCTTCGACACGTGCTCTCTCACTTGAACTTGAAATACGAGCATTTTAATTGCCAACAGAAATTTAAATACCAATAAAATGCAACAACAATAAACCAAGCAGACGTCGCTGCATTCTGAAAGTTCTAAAAATAGACGGGCATCTCGCGTTGCTTTTGTTGTCATTCGGAATGTGCCTGAAATTGCAATCAGGCTCAGGCACACCGCACTTCGGCTCTCTACACAGCCTGAAAGCCGAACCGAGCCGACAACAAGAAGTCTCCGCTTGATCACCAAAATATATTTACGCCCTCTGCTCTATGCGTTACGTATATTTTGGAGAATGCACTCATGCCATCTCACTCGCTCGCTCGCTCACCAAGCACACACTGTTTACGCTCGCAGCTCCAATTTCTTGTTGTCTTTGATTGATGATGACGATTATGACTCAGTCGATCAACTGATGAGCATCATCAAGAGCGGGAGCGGGCGGTAAACTTGACTGACGGCCTCATAAAAAGTCTACACAGCGTGGACAGTGGAGTGGAGCGGGCTGCTTTAATCGAACATGGTTTAGCTTTGTTAGGTGTGAAGAAATAAAAACAATTAAGCCAATTCGAAAAATAAATAAATAAAATAAATGCAAATGATTTGCCCAAATCAACAAAACGAGATGCATATCTGGGATTAACAGTAATTTGACAAGCTTAAGAGCTTTTGCGAGTGTTGTTCAACTTGCACAGCCCAAAAACTAGTGTTAGTTAACCCACTTCAGCATCCACAACAATTCTCACATGTAATCCTCTTTCGCTACCCCCCTCCCTATACCACCTCATATTGTTTGCTGTGGACAACAGCAAAAGCGTTGACAACTCTTCTGTCGCTGCTCGGACCCCAATTCCGCAAACTTCAAACCATGCCAAGCCCCCTTTTTTAACCAATATCCCCTCTCCCCCCATCACAGCTATTCATACGGTCACATTCAAGTGCAGTGAACCATTTTGGGGCACGTCGCTGGGCAACAAAAGAACAAACATTTCCGGTTCTGCGGCAGATGTGTAAAAACAAATAGAAAAAAGTTGTTGTTAACAGACAATCGATAAAAAAAAAAAAAGTAAAGTTGGAAAACAAATTGAAACAATGGCAGCAAATAACAAAAACTGTTTTTATAGTTATTTTCATTTCATTTTATTTCATTTAACTTGAAACTCGCAGCTCAACCAATCGAAGCGATTAATGGAGGAAATTTAATGGAAATGGGCAGCGAATTGAAATTGTTTTTCTAACAAAAACAACACAAAAACGAAGCATAAAGAAAGTAAAGGAATTTGTTGGATAGCTTGCGATAAGATATCAGAAACTTAATCTCGCGAACTTGTGCGATAATAAAATGTACATAAAATTGTTGTCGTTGGGCTCAGAAGATTCGACAGGATAAGATCAAATGAATATATTATATAGTACACCATTTTTTATATTTCTACACGGTTCCAAGTTTCTGTCGTGTAAAAATTTAATGATTTATATATGCTATTGTTACAGTAATAACATAACATACTATGTTATTGTAATAACATATCTTACTATGTTATTGTAACAACATAAACTATTTAATACTGATAACTACTCAACTATGTTATTTAACATTTCTGCAATCTACAGAGTTGCCAGCCCGGAAAATTTTGAAAACTTACCACCATTCGCATTGATTGCATTCGATTCCTTGGCATTGCCTTGATTTTGGCTGTGCAAAATATCAGAAAGAGACAACGAGGAGGCAATTAGCTGACGTTTTTCCTCAAAATTAAGAAAATCCATGGAATTACTGCGCTGCGGCGTCACAGTTTGTCACCGACTTCTGCATCTTGGCCACAACGCACAGCTGCTGCTCCAGCTCAGCGGACGAGGAGGGCA